ATTTTTATTTGACTGGATACCTGAATAAATCCATTCCTTTAGCTTGAATCCTCCATGTTCTAGTAGATTTTCTATATCATCTGTTAGTTGCTTCGCTTTGCTTTCTGTGTCAACGCTCTCTATAATATCATCCATGTACGTGTTAAGGCCTATTTACACGGTACGACTTTGTCGCATGCGACAAGCTTACGACAGGCCTACGACACGAATTGTATCGTGTAAATCAAACCTACCACTCGCTTACGACTGTCGTGCACGTCACGAAAAATGTCGTAGGATTTTAAAACATGTTTTAAAACGCTGCGACAATCGTAGCCGAAATTGATAGAAAATGACGTATTTTGTGACAAATTTCTACTGAGTAGGAGAGGAAGGTGAAATTTTCTTGCGTCAAAATGGCGGAGGAAGTCGCCTCCGGAAAGTCGAAGACTGCTTCCAAAGCGAAAAATACATTCTCAGATGAGGAAACAGAGAATATGATATCACTGTGGAGCGAGGAAGAGGTTCTTTTCAACAGCCGCCACAGAGACTACTTTAAAAATGACGCTAGACAAAGTGCAGTCAATCGCATTTTGTTGCGCCTCAATAAACAAGGTAAGCCCATGAAAACCAAAAGCAAATATACTTCAAGCCGTCATAATTTAGGGCCTATTCGCACTAGCAACTTTATTTAGACAAATTTCTGTCATCACCGACGTTTTACAAGTGTGGATGGTTTGTTGCGACTTGGGAAATTTTGGCCGAAGCGAGCTTCCAAAAGTTTATTTATCGATGACACTGATGACGCTCGAAGGCGGCTTGACCTGAGTTAAAGCGGACTCATTCGCGTTCTCAAGAAACAAAATATGCCTTATTGCAATTATCATCGCGAACAATAAGCAAAGGAATAACACCAGTAAGTTTTTCCTAAATTTGTCAGCCAAAAAGCATGACCGGCTGCCGGCTGCAAAGCAAGGACGCATTAGTGCCGTCAGTAAAGCATCATGACTGTGTCAGGAGACAAAATAGTTGTCCAACAAAATTGTCGCGACAAAATTCGTCGGTAAGATTTCCGCACAGCCCCATAGATTAATTACTGCATACAAGTTTCGACTCTATTCATATTAACTGTTTATGTGAAATAGAGCGTTTTCACTTGACGTCACGGCGGCCATATTGGTGTTCCAAAACAAAGAAACGTCGGCCATATTGGTGTACCAAACCAGTCCTTTGGGAGTTGAACTTTATTTTTATGCAAAAATGGTCTTTTGTTTGAGTAAACCAATATGGCGGCTTGTCAGGTGAGTGAAAACGCTCAATAGTATGAGAATGGCTGCGTGTATAATAAATGTATGGGGTTGTGCAAAGCATAGATTAAGAGGAGAGAGAAGGAGTTGGTCGAGTTGGCCACAGCTCCTTATCTTTTTTTTACAACGACTGGAACATGGAATGGTACTTGCTCTGGGTTTTGCTCTTGCTGCAACTGCTTCAGCCTTCTGTTTCTGACTCTATGGAAACTGATATATTAACATGGCCTGAATTTTTTTAGGTCTCACAAGTGAGGAGCTTCTAAAGAAAATGTCTGCCCTGCGTACATATTATGGGAAAGAAATCGGGAAAGAAAGAAGCAGCAGAACAAGTGGAAAAGGGACCAAGGACGTGTATGTATCAAAATGGCACTTTTTCACCTCCCTCCACTTTTTGAGAGATAACATAACCCCCAGGAAAACCTCAAGCAATATGGACACTTGCATTTCAGAGGAGAAAGAAAATGAAGCTGTGGGCCAGGATCAGCCATCTCAGCAAGCAACTCACCATGTTTCTGATGATGGTTCTGACCAAGGGAGTGTTTTCCCCACTAACAACCCTCCGCCAGTAAAAAACAAAAAAAAGAGGGCATTAGCATTTGAGGATGAGCTTCTTTCCACTTGTTGAGAGGAAATGAAGCGCCCGAAAGAGGATGTCACTGATGCTGATATTGTGTTTGGGCAGTATGTCTCAAGACAACTGAAAAAAATACCAGAAGGGTATGCTAAAGAGATGCTGAAAATTGAAATTCAACAAAGTATTGTAAAAGTAATGTTACCTGTAGCACAGCCCTTGTCCAACCTTGTCACCTAGGCTTTTGATGACTTTAATGACAAGTAATTTATTTTCTTCATTGGGAGTCAATTTTTGCCCTGAATTTGGTGTATTTAAAAATAAATAATTTATTGGGACAAAATTTACAATTTCCATGATATATTTTTGTTAAAATTTAAAACTTTCGCATTCATGCCCATTTTATGAACAGTCTTTATGAAAACAGTACTTGTATAAACTTAAGACTGTTGGTATATAACTTTCAGTATACTCGAGAGGAAAATATATTTGTTAATGCATTTTGATCAGAGAGAATAAATACAAAGGTATTGAATTATTTATTAAATTTGTAAATATTGTTCATGCATGAACATATCATAAGTTGTAACACATTTTTTAGTCACTTTTACACTTAAAGTGCATATAAAGTAAAAAATTATTTTGTCTCATTTGAAAGGCCTTTAAGAGAGAAGAATGGTGTTTTCCTTTTTGCAATATCTTCTTCAGTTCCAGACATATTAAAGTTTTTACATTATGCAAATTAGATAACTGATGACGTCATCAGTCGTTCTAGTATGAAGTCAAAACACAAAATCAACAATATCTCAGGAAAGCCTGTAGTTGTGGAATTCCAATTGCAATAAAATATTACATCTTCCTTATACAACTGACTGTTCTATTTAAAAATATGGAGAAAAACCTCTCGGATTCAAAAGAAGACTTTGGTACATCTGTCACAATTGCATAAAATTTGCAATTTGCTTACTGTTTTAAAAGTTAAATTAAGACATTCCACTGCCATGGAACTTGGCCTGGACCATTGAGGTAGTTGCATAACTGGTCCCTCATTTCCTCTGCCTTCCTTGGTTGCCTTCCCTTTCGAGAATTTGGGACATTTGCAAATGGGATTGTAGCAACGTCATGTCTCCAGGAACCTTCATTTACCACACCATTGGAGTTCTCCATGTCAAGGGCCCCAGTGGGGATGTACCTTTCTGGAACTCTTGATCTTAAAAAGTTGTGCAGAGCTATTGCACAAAGGACAATATTGACAGCACTCTCTGGCTTTGTACATATAACAGTTGAAAATACCCCAAACCTGCTTGTCAAAATGCCAAAAACATTCTCACTGATCCGTCGTGCTCTGGAAAGCCTGTGGTTGAAGATCCTTTTCTCATCTGAAAGATTTCTCTGTGAATAAGGCTTCATGATGTTATTCTCTAGTGGAAAAGCATCATCTCCAGCTAGATAAAAAGGCAATGGATTTTGGGTGTAGCTGCCATCAAAAGATTTGTCTGCTGACTCAGGAAGCAATCTCGGCTGGGGTAAGCCAAGAGAGTCATTGACCAGAGCTTTCCAAAACAGGCTGTTTCTGAGTACACCACCATCACTTATTCTGCCTTGACAGCCCACATCAGCAAATATAAATTTGTAATCTGCATCTACAACTGCAAGCAACACAACACTGAAGAAACCCTTGTAATTGTAGAATTCAGAACCAGAGTTGCGTGGATGGAGGATACGTACATGTTTTCCATCAGCAGCACCAATGCAATGCGGCAACTGCCAACGGTCATGAAACAGCTGTGCTATTGGTAACCACTCCTCTGGAGTACTTGGGCATTTGAAGTAATCGTCCTTAAGGACCTGAAAGATGGCTTGACACACTTCTGGAATAATGACTGACAGGGATGGCACACTGATTCTGAACTGGTACTGAAGACTGGAAAATTTCTCTCCAGTAGCCAAAAACCTCAAGGTCACTGCCAGACGTTCTCCAGGTGGTATTGGCTGTCTCATGTTGGTCTCTTTCTTTTCAATTAACGGTGTCACTTTTTCAAGAAGGTTCTAAAAATCTAAAGGTAGATTTAGCAAAAGATCAACCAATTTTGCCATAACATAATTAAGTAAAATATCAGCACTTGGACAATATTTTACACACCCAAGATAAAAGGTGACAGTCTGTTTTGCCCCCCTGACATAATTATAAGTAACATATGACAGGAGAATAAAACAGTAACCTTTGAATGCTAACTCAACCTGGACAAACTAAAAGACATAATATTTTTATCTAGTAAAATTCTACCTCAATACCAAATATAGAATTTATATGGTTTATTCCCCAGACCTTTGCATCAATGCCTTTCATTTCAGACTGAATCTTATGAAAATCAATACAACTAAATTATAATCAATATTAATTAAAAGATTAATATTAATTCATACTGATGTTAGCATACTGATGATCGATTTTCAGAGAGGATGAGTATTACCATGCTGTGCCCAGCCGGCAAGCAACAGAAATGGTTACTGCAATTCAATTTCAATAGCTCATCAATGGACTCACTCATGTTGTCACGGGGGGGGGGGGGGGGGGGGTACTTGCAGTATACATGGCGGGGGGGGGGGTACTTGCAGTATACATGGCGGGGGGGTCTGACATATTTCTGCGATTGAAAATTTACACCCGTGGTATTTTGTGGATCAAGAGACCTGTCACAATTTTTTTGGTCTTAAAGTCTGTTTGACTGTAAAAATTTTGCCTTGTATTTTTTTGAGTGTAAAATTTCGGGTTCATGTATTATTTTGGGTTTGCAATATGAAGCTCCATCGACCCTCCCCCCCGTCATCTATACTGCGAGTATTCCTCCCAGTCCAGTTTCTCACTGAATACTATGATATTTTTTTCAAAAATTTTGTCAGGGTGGAATTTTTGTCCCGCCAAAAACAATGTGGTACGTAACACTACCATTCTCACGGTGGACAAGCAATAGGAATGCCATCAACACAAGGTCCTGACGATTTTTACTAAATCAATCAAGGGAAAATGAACTCCAGATAATATTCAACTTAGATCACAAATTCCTTTCTCCCTTCGTAAAGTTTGTAGAATGCAATGTAACCATGCAATGTTAACTGTGTAACTGAACAGCTGAACT